ACAATACAAGCCAAAGCTAATAAGCTTTACTTGAAAACAGCCAGGGAATGAGCTTAAGGAGATACAACAGCCTATGAAGTCTGAAAAATAACTAAGAAGCATTCCTGCATTGCATTAACCCAAAGAAATGGATGAACAACTATTCAACCTCAGAACATGACTGAATAAAAGAGGTTAAAAAAAAAAATAATAATCAAATGTCTTTATCAGGTCAAACTCATTGTCCAGACATAGGAAAGACGAGAGATCACCTTCGTACACAGACCATTACGTCCACAAGCTTACCCTGAGTCTGCATGCTGCTGACTGGTCATAGGAACAAAGCTCTCCCTACCTCTTCCACTTTCAGCAAGTTCTCTTTCTTCCCATCTTCTGCTAAAAATGGAAGAAGAAACAAGGATCTCTAGTAACAAAAGGAAAAAGACAAAAAACTCACAGAGATGGTGAAGAAGCACAAGAACTGGGATGGAAAGAGAACCAGTGATGGCTAAAGTCTGCACACCTGGGCTTTTGTGGTGCTTTTCTTATGGCCCTGATAACAACAGCCCCACAGCCTGGCAGAACACTCCAGCAAACCCCAACACAGTGTAACTCATGTAGCTGGAGACATCCTCCAAAGACCACAACAGTGGTGGGCTCTCCTACTCAGTCCAAAACATTTGCATTCACACAAATCAAGTGTTCAGTGACATCTGGGGTAATTCTGATCTTTAAAAAAAAAACAAAAAAGCAAAAACCCACATTTTGAAAATTACCTTAAAAAAGAAAAATGTTACAATTCAGCATGCAGATCTCTACGGTAATCAATCTGCTCCCTTGTATGTGCTCTTTTCCATAGTTTTTCTAGTCCCAGCGTCATTTGAAATGCCACAACATGTGTTTCTGACCTACTGCAAAATTACAGCTCTCATTCAACAGAAATTAGAATGCAAGAAACAGATGTCAGGCAAGGACCTATTGCTGTAGCAGGAAATACCACTCTGCAGCCAGAACTGCTCTTCGATTGCTAACAAAATTACACTACTGAAAAGAAAAAAAAAAAAAGATATTCTGAAACACAAGTCTTAAATGTGCTCCAGAAGTGCAATTCTCCTGTAAATCTAATTCACTGGATCTCAGTCTCAGCAGACACAATTCTGTCCGTCTATCACAGTTCTTCTATAGAAATAACTTCAACTCCACATCAACCAACCGATGCGTTCAACTCAGCCATGCAGAAAGAAGTTGACAAAATCCTTCAGACTTGCACAAGTGCGATAAAAGACTGCAGTCTCGCTGAGGTGAGGCACAGCTCCCCGCGGTTTCACGAGCCTATCAGAAGTTGTTGGGCAACGCCACATCCGAGCTGTTCCACAGTGCTTCTCATAGCTGCATGATCTGCACAGCAGCGCCGAAGGTGCGGCACATCACACCAACGGTGATGCTCCACAGCGCTCTTGCCAATGCCTCCAGCTACTCTGCTTCCAACTTCAGCGTTAGTCTCAGAAATGGAGGCCCGTGGAATCAGCAGGCATCTGCACGCAGTATGTCACTGCTCTAATTTAAAGCAATTTTTAGTTTCTGTACCATCTTTAGTCCACATATGAATTTTGTCTCCTCTTAAATGCCCCATTACAGCAGCTGCAACAGCAGCCTTACCTCTGGATCTTCAAAAATGTGTCCTGTGCTCTTTTGACAGCCCTAAAGCTCCCAGAGCAAATGCACACTGCTTTCTGTATTGCTATGCAGAGCACCCATGACAGGACTGAATACTGAGGAAAACAGGCTTTCCTTCACAGAAGTGCTTAAAACTCTAACTACACACTGGTAACAGCAGCTCTTCAAAAGAGCACAGACCATTGCTCTTTAACCTGGAGCAGAAAGATTCATACTTGACCAGCACACCTGCCATCAGCGCCTGCCCTTGCTGCTTCCTCAGAACCTCGTTAACAATGCTGCAGGTAGCTTCTGGGGGAACTGACTTAGGCCAAACGAGTAATTCAGGCTGGTGTACATGCTTCTCAATTCCCTAACCTTGGTAAAGCTGGCTTCCAAATACCAGCTTCCAATGCAGCACCATTCCACAGTACAGTCATAAGCCTCCACAAGATTCAGAAGTGCATTCCTATTACCCTGTGCAGTACTGCTGCCATCGAGAGCATTTACAGAATAGAGGAAGAGGTGAATCACAAACGTCTGTCACTAACTCTGTGTGACAATTCCAGGCCCTCAAATCGCAGTCAAGATAGTGACAAAAATAGCCACTGTTGGTCTGAAGTGTGAACACACTCTCCCACCCATGGGCACTGCATTGCTATCAGTGACCAGCCAGCCATGCTTCCTGCATCGCTATCTTCACCCGCGCTCCTTTTCTGGAAAGGTCAGCAGTACTCAGCAGAGGACGGGCCGCGAGGTCTGAGTCATTCTGAGACAATGCGCAAGGTGTCAGATGCTGTATAATTACACTTTGCACAAAATTACCTTTAAACGTTTTTCTGCAGCTGAAGCAACAACATCAACAAAGAGAATCGAGTCCACAGGACCTTGGAAAACAGCATCAAAGGCAATGGGAAATGCATTACATTTTTACAAGATGTTTATGTCACTTTATTTAATTGTACGTTACCAAGCTGCAGTGAGTAAGAAGTTGCATTTACTGTGGACAGACAGAAACCACTATCACGTATCTCTCAAAACTAATCTCCCTGAAACAAGCACAGACAAGAAACAGAGAGCACTCTATACTTTTAGGAAGCAAACCTAACAACATACACCAGCAGCTGTAGCTCAGAAGGAATGCACTGCATTTTACCAGATGAGTAAGAACACAAAAGTCATTTCTGAAAATAATTATTTTTGATTAAGCTGACACAAGCCTGCTGTTTGCCCATTACAGTGTTGGAGATTCAGCATACCGACATTCTTTCTTACCTAGTAGTTCTCTATGCAAGCTCTGTGCGACTCCTTAATGTGATGGACTTTATTACAAGCACAGTGACGGGAGGCACTCCTTGAGGCACAGCATCATTACAGATCTGCTTGTTCCCCATGAGCCCAGCTCCCTCCTCCTGCCCCCAGACACTGGCAAACCGCCGCATGCTCAGCAACCCCCTTCTGGGCAAACACCTCTGACTGACAGAGAAAACGCTGTTCTGACTGCTGACCTTTTTCCACTTGGGAACATGCCCAGCAGGACCCTGTACCTGCAAACTGGCCTATTTTTAAAGCTGAGAAGCTCTATGAATAGCCGAGGATATGTTTTTAGTTAATCTACTTGAAGCTCTCCGCAGGGTGGTTCCCTACTGCCACGTGCTTCTGGATGACACCTCTGCTCACCCAACAGCCTGCAGATAACAGAGTTACTGAGTCAGGTGTCTCGTGAAGAACTTTTTAATAAAGAAACACAACAACAAAAAAAAAAAAAAAGCAAGTTTTCCTGCACTCCTTCTTTTCTTCAAACCACTCACGGGGATTATTCCCCTACAAAGCGTCCTCCCCCTGTAACCACAGCACTGCAGTGACGGCGCTGGTTCTGCCACAGGAAGCAGCAGCACCACACCTCGGCTCCAGGAAGCTGCCACCGCGGGAGAGAACTCGGGCAGCACACTTCCCACACTACAGCACAGATTCTGCTAGACAAAGGACAGCCACCTTTCCTTAAAAACGGGAACAACCTTAAAACACAGCCAACACGTCCCTCCATCTGTCATTTCCACCCGCAAGGCTCTGCGTGCTGCCACGCACACAGCAGTGCAGTGCTGCTGCTGGGAGCAGACCCAGCCGCGACCACGCATGCCGGGCTGCTCGCGCTTTAGCGCCGAGAAGAACTGCCCCCGCTGCGGCTGGGACGGACAGAAACGCACCAAAATCAGAGCCACCACCGCAGGCTGTCAGTGCAGCCGTCCTTCCAAAGGCTGCATTTTTAACACCGGGACGCGGAAACTTCGTAGGCAAAGCCCTCCAACAACAGCACCGCGCGACCGGTGCGAGGGCGGTTTTGCGCGTTATGGAAGCGGCGAACAAAGAGCCCCGCGGGGAGCTCCGCACGGCCCGCAGCGAGCCCCGCTTCGGCCGCTCCTCGGCTGTCGGGGAGACCCGCGCCCCAGCACCTCGGCACGCCGCTTTCAGCTGCGCTCCGTAAAGCGCTTCCAAACGCATCTACTTAAGGAAAAAAAAAAAAAAAAAAAAAGAAGTAATCTGGGGTAGCCGAAAGCCGCACCGGCAGCACGCACCGCGCCGAGGCACGCAGCTCCCGGGGCGAACAAAAGCTCCACGATCCCGCATTCCTCCGCGCCCGCGGGAGCGGGGGGGCGCGGGCCGAAGGGGCCGCGGGCACGGCGCGCACACAAAGTCCGCCGAGGGCCGAGGCTGCGCTCCGCCCCGCACAAAGCCGGGCCCGGCCCGGGAGCGCAGCCGCCGAGCCCTCGCCCTCCGCCCGCCGGGACACGCGGCAGCCGCTCGGCCGCGTGGACGGGATCTCCCCCGGCCCGCCGCCTCCTTCCCACCTCTCGCGGGGAGGGCCCTGAGCCGCACCTCCCGCCGAGGGTCCCGCGCTTCGGGGGGGTCGGGGTGTGCGCGGGGCGGCGGCCGCGGGGAACAAAGGAGCGGCAGTGCCCGGGAGAGGCTCTCGGCCGCCGCCCCCCGCCGCGCTCGGGCCGGGCCGCCTCGGGCCGGGAGCGGTGTTAGGCCGCGCGGAGCACTCACCGCTGCAGCACCAGGAGGAGGGCGAGCCCTGCGGGAACTTGGCCGAGTCGGGCGCAATGCAGACGCTGGAGCCGAGGTGCGGGCACTCCATGACGGCGGGGCGCGGCGGGCGGCTCCTCGCGGCTCTACGACGGCGGCGGCGCCCCGCGCACAACAGCCATCTTAAGGCCGGGCCCGCGATCCGCGCGCCGGGCTTTGCGGGTAGCCGCCTCCCGTCCGCTCCCTCGGACCGGACCGCCCCCCGCCGGGCTTTGCGAGCAGCCGCCCCCCGTGCCGGCTGGGCGGTGCTGACGCGCGGCACTGGGGCTGGCCGGGCCGCTCCGCCCCGCGCCTGTGCTGCATTGGGCTGTGCGGGAGCGGTGCGTGGGGAGCACCGGCACTCGGCGCCCCGTGTCAGATGCAGCACAGATCCACCACCGCAACGCCCCAGGAACAGGGGAGCTTTTTAATCCCTTAATCTGCTTCATTACCGTGACTCCTGCGCGGTGATATCGCACCTTTTCTCTGCCCCAACCAATGTGAAATAAATAGGATCGGTCTCACAACCCCGCTGCAGTACGACTGTTGCTGCACGTACTGATTTGTTGGCTACGATATTTTACGTGTTCTATACCGTACGTGCAAATGTGGACTTCATGGGAGCTCGTTCTCAGGGGGCTTCGCCACCAGCAGGAAGCACCTCCGGCTGTAACAGTCTGCCAGCGAACATCGCCCTGTTAGCACAGAACACGAGCCTCGTAGGACCTTTCAGACAAAGGTGAAAATGCACGATTCGTGGCAGCAAAGCTAATGAGCACAGGGGACCATGAAGAAAAATACCCTGTAAAATGCCAAGAGTTACATGGGCAATGTACCGCTTTCTACGAGACTTCCTCTTTTCATTCCGGAAGGCAGCAAACTTCTCACAGAAAAAAAACAAACGTGGCTTTGCTTTAAGAGGTTCTGACTATTAGCTGTACAGCGTGACTGTTCATCCTGCAGTACTATGCAGGAAGAAAAGCGTCTCTTCTCCCCTGCTGTGGAATTATTAAGATCACCATAACAAAGGAACAAAAGGAGCCCGGACTTGCAGGAAGGTCAGTAAAGGCCACTTAAGGGCCTTGAGCAGCGCTTCCTGCAGCGGCAGACACTTACGCTTTGACTTCCCTAAGTACAGAGGTGTCAACTCACCAACACAGCCCCTCCTCTTCCACTCTTAGGAGCCATAGCCATAGGGACTGTGGCACTTTGCTCCTCTGCGTGGTAATGGCAGAATTTATTCTTCCTTTCATTTGCTGTCTGACAGTGCGATCTTGCCCAAATATTTGCCCATTTCTTGGTTTTAATTGCCATGTTTATTCCAAATGTGGTAGCTCACATTCATCCCATGTAGGGGGAAAACTGGAATAGAAGCCCCAGGTATTATTTTCCTTTTCAGTTTGTTCATTCAGCAAGGTTCACTGAGGAAAAAGAAAACACATTTAATTTGGAACTGGAGCCCCATCTCTTTCTCCCATCCTTCCTCAGCTCAGTCCAGTTTAGATGATAGCTAAGATAACTCCTGAAGTGCCTTCAGTTACTGCACTCATAACGGGTGCAAATCACTGCATAACAGGGACCTGTGAGTCAGCATTTTAAGTTAGAAATTTCCATTTAATATAGTATGTCATCAGCTCTACTGCGAGAGATTCCATACGGTGTCCTCTTGTCAGATATATGTAATCATCCATCTGTGCTATAGGCTCCATCTAAGTTTAGAATTTGGCCCTAAAATGGTATCCTGCATACACACCTACAATTTACTGTGGGTAGTTTTGCCTGGGGGGTTCTTTAGTTCTGTTGTATTTCTCAGGGATAAAACTTTGGTCTAAAATATTTGAAAATATTAACCTGTGTGTGTACTATGATTTGAACTGAATATGCAAAAGCAGAAGTTAACGTGATCTTGGCTTCCTTCAAAATCACTGGGTGGACATCGTTCAGGGGACCAAGTGAAGCAGTTGTTGCCTCGAATGACTTCCTTGTTTGCTGTAGGAATTGGAGTGAGTGGATGGAATGGAGAAGGAAGACACTGGAGGAGTGGAATGGATGCTATCCTGAGGAACTAGAATCTGTCTTCACCAGAAAATTCTTGAGTGATGCAGGGGAAGGTATTTAAACCAAAATTTTAATTGTCTGCTTAAGTTAAAGGTCAAATCTCCTTCCTGACTGCAGCTGAAGAAAAGAGGCCAGCTCTGTCCAGAGCACAAATGTTGGAGTCCTCCTATCTCTCCCAGCTAAAATTTCTGAATTAAATACATAGAGATAATATCCTCTCCCACAGCATGCTTCTTCTTTTCTAAGTGGTGAACTCAGCACATGTAGAGAGAGATTGGCACACGTACCAAGTTTAAAAGGTTGTTAGCAGACCTTCTGTTCTGAGCACAAAAAGCAATAAACACTCTGAGAACACCAAATGCCTCTCCAGACCTAGCAAAGGCATGTGAGATTGCACTTCCACCTCTGTGTATCGCACCCAAAGAGCAGACAGTTCTCTGCGTTCCCAGAAGTGTACAGGTGCAACGCTCAGTTACAGTGGTGATAGCAATGTGGACAGTACAGAAACCTGCAAGGAAGTGAATTATTTACTCTGTGGATGCAACTCCGAGGCAGACAGCTGGCCTGAAAAAATCAATAGAAACCATCAGGATGTGGCTAAGTAATAACACCGGGTCTTGGCTTAATAAAACCCTTACCAGAGGCTGGTCTGGCACTCAGAGAGATACATACCATCTGTGCAATGAGCAGCAGCTCAGCTGCGTCATCTGTAAGCTGCAGCACATTGAACACCACGAACACCTTTCTGGCTGCAGGCTGTGTCATTAGCAAATCTATTTCCATTTCCTGCACGTGTTCTGAAAACAAAGGTCACACACTTTTCCAGCACACCACAAGTTTCTCCCTCTGCACAGTCAGTAAGGATGTCTCCCCGAAAGGCGAGGCGCCCCAGGTAAGGCAGACCGCCAAGGCCACGCAAAGCCCCGAGCGAGCGCGGAGCGGGAACGAGAACTCGAGGCGGGATGGGGCCCGTCCGCCGCCAGGGGGCGCCGTAGCACAGAGCACTGCGGCGCGCTGCGGAGGGAGCGCCCCCTCCTGCACTGCGCCCCGCCTCAGTGCTGAGTGAGCTCGCTCTTGCGCGGGGCCACGTCCGCTATAGTGCTGCTCCAAAATTGTCTCCAGTGTACAACGCAGCGTTAAAAATGCTGAGTGTCAATGCAGAAAGTGAGAAGACTGTGGCAACTTCATCCCCCACATGAGAAGGGAATCCTAATGGCTCTAGTTCGTTTATTCTGAGCGCTGTAGATGTAGAAAAGAGTGGTAGTGGAAGGCAAAGAGAGCAGTGCAATAAACGTGCAAGGAGCTGTAGTACCTTTACCAGAATTCCTTTTTCTTTTTTTTTCCCTTGCTAACTTTACATTTTTCCACATAACTCTGGGGGCATCCTATTAGCAAAGGAATGCTTTAACTGTGAGGCAATCTTTGCCCATACTGTCATGGCTTGGTCACACTGCAAGGTATGAATAAAGGTGAATGTGATTATCCTCTGTGGTATGGTTATTCTCCACGAAAGACGTAAAAAATAAAGGATATAAATGAACTAAACGGCTTGAAAATTCTCCACATTGTTCTTTAACATGTTATTTGTACAGAAGGGGGCTTATTTTTACTCATGCTTTAAACAAATTGCTGAAAGGTCTCTTCTGTCTGGCAGCTTTCAATGCTGGCTTCATCAATTGCCTTCCAGAGTCTGTTCAATAATGCAAGTGCACTCAGCAGTATTTCATGTCACTGGCCTTTAGGCTCCCCAGCTTTAACTGTAATCATTAGGTAAATTTTATATTGTTTCCAAATGCATTCTTGAGAATATTGCCCCAACTCTGTACTCATCTTAAGCTGCTTTTAAGATCATCAGGCTTTATTTCATTGTATCTTAAACAACAGTGAACACTTTCTTGTGAGTTACCTTTTAGATTTTAAAAAATACGACTCAGTTTACAACGTGCATCAGAGCACAGCTAAGTCAGAGTTCTCCCACGTGCCTTTTGGAAAGACAGCCCAGCCTTACCTACCTGACAGGGAAATGAGACAGCTTGGACCAGCCCATCCATCTGATTAAAGAGGGAATACTGTTTAAAAGCACTCAAATAATTCCAGAACCTCCACGTCATTGGTACTGTTTATCATGTCACATGAGGCAAAGCCATAGAAGTTCCTATGCAACAAGCACCAAGTATGTAGATGAGGTGCACGTTTTGTATTTCACCACTAAAATTAGCTTGTTAACAAATACAAAGAGAATAGATGATAATCCAGCCACAGAAATTTGAAGAATTTATCTGATGATCATGGCAGGATTGGAGAGGGAATTCGGAGATGGTATAAAATTATACTACTTTAGATAAGTGTTGGGAAGTGTAAAGTCCCATTGTCCATGAAAACAACTTTTATAGAAAGTATTGTAATGGTAGTGTTTGCCTTAATATCTGAAGTCCCATTCCAAACACTTAAAAAAGCTCTGATGAGAGTCTCAGGATGAACTAGTTGAACTGATGACTTTTTTTTCACCACTCTCATTGGCTATTTCCATGTAGAGTATTCCTACAGTGAAAATATTGTGTCTGTGAACTGTAACTGAGCACACACCGTATTACCTATCCTTTTACATTAAACAAGCTTGCTGACAGTCAAAATATTCCACAGGCTCTTTTTGCTTCTTTGCTTGTTGTAAGCTACAGGAGCATTGCATCTCTTCTCTGTTGCACTTCATTCTAGTTTTGTTTGAAGACTTTTGCTGCCCACTATTCCTTGTGCTTTACTGCTCATTTACTGGATTTTAGTTCTACTCTATTGGCCACAAAGCAATGTAAATATTAACAAAAAAGGTTATGCTCCAATAACTTGGAGCACTTAGATTCTAAAGCATTTTGCCTGCAAAGCCAAGTGTTTGTGGGAAAAACTTGCCATCGTACACAGAGAGTACACACACATCACCAACAGCTGGGCTGAATGAGACTTGTGTTACTCCAAATGACAGCATTTTATTCTCTTTGGGATGAAGTTAGATCAGAGAAGTGGGAATTTAATTCCATGTCACTAGGAATGTGTTATTTTGTCATCATGCTATTCTTCGGGCTCGATTGTTCACAATGTTGAGCAGCAACCTGAATTGAAAAAGGAGGTCATTGTTTAGATTTCCTTTCCTCACTACCTTCATTTGATGCCTCTTAATTCAAGGACCGAACAAGGCGTTCTGACACTTTTCTGTTCCAGCTGGAGTTTGAAACTAGGATGGTAATATATGGTGGGAGGGAGATATCCAGCTTGTTCTGAAATAAGAAACACAGAGATCTCCTGTCATCAGTATTAGATCACAGAATCACAGAATCAGCCTGATTTACTCACTGTAGCAAAATGTGAATGTGCCAATGGCTCTTCAGTTCTGCAGCCAGAGAGCATCCATGAACTGCTGACACAGGTAGCTCTGAACTTTGAAGAAGCTGAGTTATAGAGCAGATCTGGAGACAAAACTATCACAGATCTTTTTGCCATATTAGACTTCCTTTTTTGGGATCTTGACTTGCTTCGTACTGAACAAGCTCAAGACCCAAATATATTTTGAATTATTTGAATTCATGGCATTTTGTAGGAGGACTGGGAACTTAGTTTGGGGTTTGACACAAATCACATTCAAGAAAACTGTCAGAAGAACTTTCATATAATTTTAAATTTGCAGTGTCTATCATTTCTTTCACTCACAGCCCTGTATAATTAGATTCAGTATAGTTAAGGCAGTTATTTAAGAATAGCTCCTATGCTATGTTACTTAACCTCTACCTGCCAGAACCTAGAATATACCAAGACTGATTTCTGCAATGCCTATTTGGTCAAGAATTTACAATGCACCATGAAAAAAAGGCTTCCTGGCACTTCCTCAGGAAGTTCTTAGTAACTCACTCATGCTCACGTAATGCAGACGTCCTCAATTCACTATGACTGTACCGTGTTCATGTGCATCTGTGTCTGAAAGAAACTAAGGTGACACATAACTGCAGTAAAACCTTTCATTACTATGATTTCCTTTTGTTTAAAGTCTGCTTTCATAGCAGTGACCAGAATAGATGTTCCATGCAATAGAGTAAGCCTGGGACGACCTGCTGCTTCTCGTAGTCCCTTGTTTCCCCACCTCTAGTCACAAGAAGATAGTTAAGCAGTAGCTGCGTAACTACATTTTGATGTATTGACAGGCATGTCTATCCCTAACAACATCAATCCATATTCTTTTAAACAAATTCCCATGTTTCAAATACACAAGCAATATAATCAGTACAAAAGTAGGTGTCCGTCTATCACTACTGCATGTTAGCACAGTTCTGTAAAGCAGCAAAGAGCTGGAAAAAGTAAGGCAGGGATCTCATCATAGTGATCCTTGTAGTAAATTGTTACTTTTTCAGTAGAAAATCATTTTTAATTTTTCATCATTTCCTAAAAATTATGAAGTCTCAGCAGTTCAAGACTTCACTGCTGTACTGTCCCTATCCTTAGCATGGTACTTGAGGTAGGTAAAGGCCTGCATTTGGAGCAGAATGCCAGGCCTGCTTTTAGACCATGATGAGACTTTACTTTCGTAAACATGACTGAGTATCCATGTTCAAGAAATGCTTAAACGTGTGTGGTATGTAGTGTAGTTTTTAAAATAAGTCCTTAGTTCAGGACAACCAGTTCTCCTCTGTCATACTTCATGCCACTTCAAGCCATCCCAAGGGAGAATGGCTGGTTCCACATCTTCAGGTACTTAAAATCAGAGCTCTGAAGTACAGTATAACTAAGACACGCTTGCCAAATGGCTAAATGTAGCAGCTGTAGTAAATCAAAAGGCTGATGTAAATAACCACAGCATTTCGGTTCTCTTAAGCATGGCAGGTAATCATCAATTTTGCGCACAGATTCAGTGCTTAAACTTACATCACTGCTAATCAGTACTTCACAGTAGGTACTGCACAAAGGTAAAGCTTCTCATTACATTGTTCCCTAAGGTAACACAGGTCAACAAGCCCAGCTTCTCATTATAGCTTCTCATCTGCACAGGCTGCACTCCTAGGATATCTATTATCCTAGGATAAAAGGCTGGGATGGAGCCACTCCAGCCATGAAGACAGAAAGGGAAGAAAAAAGACCCAAACCAGCAGCTTCAGTTGCTGCACTGCTGATCAGACTCCAAACTGACTCCAAATCCATCTGATGTACCATCATCTAGAAAGATTTGAGCAG